CGGGGGAAATGTCTGAAAGAAACACTGGTTGAATGGCCCCTTACGCCACTGGCACGGCCCAACCGGACATCTGAATTACTTCCCCCCCCCTCCTCTCCAAACGCATTGAAACACTGCAACCATTACATGCAGAATTGACCAAGGTCCATGGGGAAGGGAATTTTGGATTCCACCACTCGGGGGTGGGTATAGACATAGATGTCATGGAACACTATTATTGACACTGTCTACAGACAGTAAATACCCATGCGCAACGTTCCCTCGCTCTGACGCCACATATCCCAAGTGCCCTTGAGTAAAATTGTGTACCAAAACGAATGCTCCGCTTGTATGTTTTACTTGTAACAACTCTGGGCTGGTTTATGATGTTCCAACACTAAGCTGGTAAGCACCATGTGATCCCGTTAAACAGCATTTCATCGATATCGGGTTTTTATTTTTTCAGGGCCAAAGTTTGAGTAATGTGACCAGGCTTAGTCACATTTAAATACCGTAATGAAACCACCACCCTACCCGCCCCACGACAGCACTTCTACTACCGTGGGCTGGTTATAAAAACGACACATTTTGATAAAGACACATTTCAGTTAGCAGAACTGGACTGGACACTTAATTTATTTTACATGATTTTTTAAAAACTTTCAGTAAGGAAATGGCGGGCAATGAAAATGTGACACTCACAAAGTAAGTTAAATTTTACCATAACAAGACGCAATTGTTTTTTTTTTATTTATTTTTATAAATGCCATTAAATAAGTCGAACAATTATTTTTAATGAAAAATAAAAATTCCCTTATATTATAATGTTTTCGTTGTATTTATGCATTGGTGAGTTACAGTTACAAACTTGAAATGTTGTAACTTACTAACTATTGAAAAAATAAATGTTTGTGATGAAAAAAGACAAACTCTTGATCTCTGCACTACAGAAAAGCCCTACGATATTAAATACATATTTTAGTTTTAGATCAGGGGGTCCCCCATGCCACGGCCCGCGAGCCAGATCTGGCCCTTAGAGGTCGTTAGCCCGATCCGCCTCGCACAACCAGTTACAAAATGGAATCGGGCATTGAATTAGTCAAAAGCAGGCTCATGGTTGAAATAGGCTACTAATGTTAATTGTTATTAAAATTGTTCTTATTTTAAACACTGTATTGGTTGGTTGTTGTTGTTGTTTTTTTTAATAGGATATCCGATATGTGCAGATTGCTTAAGAATTCCTTCATATTTTTTTCAAGCTATAGTCCCTCCCCCAACTATGTCTGTGGGACAGTAAAACGACTCCTGTTCAACATGTTTGGGGACCTTAGTTTTTAAATGTGCATATTCAATGATAAACTATGGCCTAGTTTATAGCAGCGATAAGGTTAAGTTGGAGGGTAAATATTAAGTCATGAATAGCGACAGTAATTTTAAAACCTTCACGTGAGGATGATGCATTATTCTATGTATATCTCGGCACACACGGGTCGGTAGTCGGTATCAAACTCCGTTCATACTTTCGAGAACTTGTGTCTCGCCACTTCGCTCTTTTGGCACTGTATAATTATGAACTCTTTTTTTTCTTTTTGGCGCCTTGTTTGCTCCCATTCTCATGTCAATGTTTAAGGGTTTGTTGGGTTTTTTTCTATTTTGGTTCTGTATAATATTTTATTTCTTAAATATGTGTAGGTGCTCCACGCATTCGCAATGGTTAAATTGTTTTAGAAAGAAGAGTAGTGCGAAGGGGGCTTTCCAGCCCGGGCGCCAACTTTAGAGGGCACCCAAAATCTTATATTTTTTTTTTAATGAAAATTTCAGACTTTTTTCTTGCGACGACCCTGATAAATAACTTTCCCAAATGGTTTCGAAACTAAATCAAGTCAGTGACGTAGGCAAGGGGAGAGTTTAAGTGGTCAAACACACCAAGCCTAATCTTAGACCAAATTAAGGCAGGAAAAAAAGTTTTGTTTTTTTTAATATAAAGAGAAGGAGAAAAAAATGCTGGGTCATGTTATCAATTATCATGTATGTTAGCAAAACCCTGTAGAACAATATTTTATCCCATTAATAAAGCTTTCCGGCGTCAGCAGCAATCCAGTGCTTAAAATTATGATCATTTACAAACTAAATAAGAGCAGGCCAGGATTAACCATTTTCATTTAGGGGCAGCCCATAAAGTACCCGGTACGTCTCACCTCGGAAAAAAAGAGAGAGGGGGGGGGGCGGTGAAGTCTAAGAAAGTGTGACAGCTTGTGACAACTTGGGGGGGGGGCCTAAAGATCTTAAGTTATGTCATACATTTTTTTTTTAAATGTCATACTTTAAAGCCTGAAATTGTCAGTGATGTTGAACTTTGAACTTTCTGTTACGATGGATGTTTTCGGGCGGATGGTGTCCCTTTTATCAATCCAAGAGTTAAGTGTGTTCAAGGTTAAGTTTTATTTATTTTTATTTTTTTACTATTTTTTTTAGGTCGAAAGTGTGACGTACTTTTTGGGGTAGGGGTCTGAGATTTGTGACAGGGTGGAGGGAGGGGTATAAATTGTCAAAAAATGGTGTGACGGTCCCTTAGCAATGTAAACACGTGCTTAGCACGTAAGTAAAAAAGGGGCAACACGAAAACACGCATTGAATAAAAAAATCTAGAAGTCTTAAACAAACAAAAAATAGATAAATAGCTAAATAAGTTAGAGTCCAAACAATTTGAAATAATTCTGACTAAATGATGTGCCGCCTCATGTCACCTTATCATCCAGTGCCGGCCTAAGAAAGTTTTGAGCTATAGGCAAGAACAAAAAGTACCTTACCGCCTCTTAGTAAATGTTATTCAGTCCCCTATTTTAACTAATTGTTATAAAAATCTACATTTTCCATTAATTTTTTAGTAAAACATCTAAATGGTGAAAAAGGTTTTTTTATTATAATTTTTTTTAAACTGAACTATGTTAAACTCAAATTCTTAAGTTGACAAGTCTGTCATAGTGTTCAGAGTAGGTTTGTTATATGTTATCAAATAGTTATTAAATATTTATTTGAATAAAAAATATGCTTTTCTTGCTGACGCAGAAGCAAAATCCTGAATTATTTCAGACATATCCAACTCTTCTGCCATCGTTCTTTCTGTGGGTATTGTAGCTAAACCAGCCAAACGATCTTGGAAAGTGATACAGCTGGTAGTGTGATTGTTTAAACCCCCATGATTTTGACATCATCAACCCATCTGCCACGCGAGATCTTCTGACCTTTGCCCCGTGACAATAACTGCGTTGCAATTTACACCAAAAATAGTCTTTCTGGAATTCGATGATGTTTATTCTACTTATTGTATTATATTTATTAATTGAGTTAAGGGTGTGGCGGAGGGTAACATTCTTCGTCAACCCATGGTAAGTATCAAAGGAGTAAAGCCACGATATTTGCACGAATTTGCGTCTTTCGTTTGTTTTGTTTTTTAATCTATGTTCTTGTGATCCCCAGAGAGGCACCACCAAATTATACCAAGGATAAACACGAACAAAGCACCGCCCCATCAATAGGCGCACCCCCCCTGAGACCCCCGCAGTCACTGTCGCTACCCCATGCAGGTGTGCCTCCACCATGCCCCTCGGGGCCCTCGCAACCACCTCACAGCAGCTACACCATCACCACGAATGCGTCCAACCCGATGCGAACGGCAGGCATTGGTGAAAAGTCCGTCGTGGAGGCATATCTTCTCGCCGTGTCCCCTCTGGGTGTCCTTGGCGCCCACCACTTCTATCTCCAGAGGTACTACTGGGGGATCCTTTACTTCTTCACAATCGGTCTCATGGGATGTGGCTACATCATCGACTGGTTCCGCGTGCCTTGTCTGGTCAGGCAAGCAAACTCAAGAAGGTCGCGAAGTTCCGACAACTCAGAAGAACCTAAAACTGTCTCAGACGCCTACACACTGTGGTTTCCTTTCGGTCTGTTGGGATTTCACCAATACTACCTCGGCAATTATGCATGGGGCGTGGTGTACACTTGCACTCTGGGATTGTTCGGGATAGGCTGGCTTGTCGATGCTTTCCGTATTCCCTATTTGGTGAAGTCGGCAAATGAAGAAATGCTGCTTTCCCCCAGCGGTCGAGAGAAGCAACTCTGCGCAGCTTACGCCATCGGCCTGACGCCTTTGGGAATTCTGGGTGCTCACCATTATTATCTTAACCGACCGATCTGGGGCATCGTCTACACATTCACACTCGGTCTTATGGGTCTTGGCTGGATCTTTGACTGGATCCGTATGACCTGGCTTGTATCGCGTGCTAACCAAGTCATCAAGGGCCGCCGCGCCGACGACACCAGGACAGTGGACGACGCCTACATCTTGTGGCTGACGTTTGGACTAATCGGCTTCCATCATTTTTACCTCGGCCGGCCACTGTGGGGTCTTCTTTATTTCTTCACCCTCGGTCTGCTGGGGATGGGCTCGCTGATAGACATGTGCAGGATCCCTTTCCTGGTGAAGCAGGTGAATAAGGAAAATGAAGAGAAACGTCGCATCTTGACTAGTCAATTAGAAGAATTGAAAAGGCAGTCATTGGGCCAAGGGACATCATTTCCGGTAACCGCGTACATGCAAGGTACAATAAGTGAGTGCATTGTCAAAATGCTTACATGTTGTGATTGTTCATTGTTTAAACGATTTTTTGCTAATTTAAAGTTTCATAATTGTTTTATGTAATGAAAAGAATTTTTAAAAACAAACTCAGCCCTCGAATATTTCGAAAAAAATGTTGTTCCATTTCAATAATCTCTGAAACTACATAGTATATCCCGTGTACAGGTGTCACGTGAAGTGCAATGAGTTTCAAATTCTCCCTTATTGTTAATGTTATTAATCCCTAGTCCTATGTAATTGTAACACGGTGATTTCACTAACCGTGTGCTCCAGTAAGATAACGACGATACAACTCATACTTGTATTCACAGGCTATCAAAACTACGGCGTGGCCAACCCAGGAGCATACACCCCAACCAACCCGCCCTTCCCAGGACCAGAGCCACTCCACCATTATCAGGGAGCATACAACCCAAGCCCACAGGCACAGTTCCCACCTCATGGACCGTTCATGACTTATCAACAGAGTGGCCATGGCCCAAGTGGACCAGTCCCCGGGTACAGTGGCGATGGCTTCTACCCGCCAGCCTACAACTATTACAACCCTGGCAGCGTCCCCCAAACCTCCACCGCGGGCGATGTCAATCCGCCACCGTATATGCCCAGGGAACAGGAGGCGACCCAAGATCCAGGGGCGTTGCCGGAAAAGCATCAGATTAAATAAAAGTTTCACCGCATAGATCAAATGGTCATGAGGCTGTTGACTAACAAAGATATATTCTTTGCTACAAACAAAAAAGGGAAGTCGTCCTTACCTGTCGTACCAGTACGAAAATGATTTGCAAAGCTAAACATTTGTTAAAACAACAAATTATGGTTATCTTGTTTAGGAAATTAGATGTTATAATTAATTGTTAAAATTTGGACAGCATCATACTTAAAAAAAGATTCTTTCTTTCTGGTTTTAATGGTGTGTTATTCTGGTTCTAGGTTATGGTACTGAAAAATTTCCAGTCAACACCTAGATAGACCCATCAATGACCAATATAAATAGTCTGTAAATATTTCAGCAAATAAAACATACAGCCGATGAGCATAGAGAACAAAAAGAGTTGGAAAATTCTTTTTTATTACGGTACCTATAGAAAACTCATCTTTACTATGATTTTAGGATCAGGAGAAAGAAAGTAATTCAATGCATAAGTATAAGTAGACCTGAAGAGTGCCTTAACCTTCTAAGATACTTCACAGTTTTTATTAAGTAGCCTCTCCCATCCACCATTTTATTTATTTACTAAATTTTTTACCATGAATTAGCACTTGGGGGTGGGTGCATGGGCGCCCGCAGGTAGGGGCAAGGTGGGGCACTTGCCCCCCCCCCCCCTGGATTGATTGGATAAACAATTTTTAGACAAAAATAGACAAATAAATTATTAAAGTTAAGAGAAAATAAAGAGAAAGTAACTAAGCTGATGTCCTGTCCGTTCGTTCACCATACAAATACGCTACAGTAAATTAAAACTATATTAAAACATTACTAAAAATTTTTTGCCCCCCTTGGAAAGTTAATCGACTTTTTTGCCCCCCCCCCCCACCCTAGAAAGTTTTCTGCGGGCGCCCATGGGTGGGTGTGTGTGTGTAATGTGGGTAGAACCGCTTGACAATCCAGTGATTAAACGACGACCCTCGGGGGTCCACTGAAATGAGGGGGAGAACCTAGAAGGTTTTCTGCGGGCGCCCATGGGTGGGTGTGTGTGTGTAATGTGGGTAGCATCATTCAAAGGGTGGTTGCTGCAGTGAGAATCAGAGGGTGGTTGCTGGAATGAGAAAACTAATTTTAATGTAAGTGACCATTATTTATGTGTCTTTATCAGAGGGGGGACACACACTTTTTTAAAAATATGTAACTTAGTATACAGTTTGTAAACCACTGAATTAGTCTGTAAACAGAAAATGAAAGTAGTAGAATACAATGTTTACTAAAATCTCTTGAAATGATAATTGATATTAGATGTGTATGTGTAAATATCTACTTCTTTAAAATAAAGTTTTTGGAAAGTGTTTTCGATTTACTAGTTTTAAATACAATTATTTCCCAAATTGTATAAATAATGTAACAGTGACTGATACGAAATGTACAGCTAAATGATAATTTTCAGTGACTCTTATAATTTAAGATGAAATAAGAGAAAATGAGAAACGAAAAGCACTCTTTAAAGTAACATCTTTTTATGTCAATCAATATCAAACATGTAAGAAATCCAATGAAACCCAAATGTAACCACATTATCCACAAAAAGTCTTTGCATCATTAAAAACTAAAACCTTTACAAATCAAAAACATATTTGGACAATTATTAATTCATATTCTCATTCATAACAACTAATCAATTATAGTTTATTAAAAAGCAAGAAAAGTCAAGGAACAAAATCAGTCTGAACGTATTACCAAGTCTCTTAGCCTCATGTGATTATAAAGTAAACTGGGTGGATTCCTGGTGTTGTGTGACTGTTAAAAGTGATGCAGCTTGTGAGATTAAGTCCAAGTCTTTACTTGAACTCTGACATTGTTAGGATTCAGCCCAACTGTTTTGCAATTAGTTGAAGGCATTTTGTTAGTGTCAGACCTTTGATTCAGAATAGCTATCATGCGTTGGAAATCCTTGATTGAATCCTGGACCTTTCATTTTCAACATGAAGCTCTGAAGCCAGGCTTACAACCACAGAATTTTTTCAGAAACCAAAATATCATAATATTAAGATTTATCCAAGTGTAACTGATCCGTCCGTTCAATAAGTCCGATCACATTTTTCTCAGTAAGATGACCAAAGTCCCCAGTAGGGTTGACAATGTCTTTACTTGCGTTACTAGTATCTGGATTCTTTTCTTCGATATTTGCTTCAGGGTCTTGAAAATGCTTGTGTTTATCTTGTGAAATTTCCTCCTCTTCATCTTCGGTTTCTTTCTGGGAGTCATCAGTGTCTTCATTCACATCACCATCATCATTGTCACTTCTGTCAATATCCTCAGAGTCATCATCCTCCTCTTCAGAGCTAAGAGAATAAAGAGATATGGATGTATCAATGGAAATAATGCTAAAAAAAAAACCTAAGATATAACAAAATTGTGACAGTAGATTTGCCCAGATAAAATAACAATATTCTTTGTCCTTTGTAAAATATGTACCGGTACACAGGTGAATAAAGTTTATGTTAGTTCAGGTTTCTTTTTTTTAAATGTAAAATTCATCTAATTCCTACCTAATTTAAACTTATTAACCAAAGAGGTTACAATATCCCACATGTATTTGTTATAACGACAGGTACAAGAAGTGAGCGGTTGGGATTAAAAAACTATTTAAAATATTATTGTTGGGTTTGTAAGACAAAATGAGGTATCAAATGAAAGATAATTGAATGGATTATATGTTTGTAAACTTAATTTTTCAGTTTACCTAAAATAAACTTCCACAAATGACATCCGAATAGCATTTAGTCAAAATGGACCCGGACACGCATCACCGCCATTCGTACCCGAGTCCCATTAGACTCATACTATTCGGATGTCATTTGTGGTCGTTTATTTTAGTTAAACTGAAGAAGTAAGTTACAAACATATATACCATTCAATTATCCCAACATCTCACTTCTGGTACCAGGAAATGAATAGTCGCAAACCTTGTTATATCATAAAAATGACATGTAATTTTAAAAAGTGAAATTCATGTATATTTTTTTTTTCTAATTGCTTATATTATAAGAGACAGTATTTACATAAAAAATTTAAAAAACCACTCATTTTTTGAGAGGTGTGCTTAAGATGAAGAGCAGAGAAAAAAAACTCTAATAGTCATTACCTTGATAATGGTGGTAGGTTTAAGGAGCGATTAGGATTGCACATATCCAAATCAGGGTTAATGGTTGACCAATCTAAAATGAACAATTAACAAAAAATTTTATTTCAATGGAAAATTATAATTGCCCCATTACATGACTTTCTTCTAAGCAGTTTTTTTTTTTTTTTAAACACCAAATAAGATAAAGTTATTCATTTTTTTTTTTATAGAAAGTTAAAAGGAAAGAAATATATGAATTACATTTAGATACTGTATATAACTTAATTTATGTTTTAAATGGTTGACAAATCTAAAATGAAAAATTAAAAAAAAATTTTATTTCAATGGAAAATTATAATTGCCCCATTACATGACTTTCTTCTAAGCAGTTTTTTTTTTTTTTTAAACACCAAATAAGATAAAGTTATTCATTTTTATTTCTATAGAAAGTTAAAAGGAAAGAAATATATGAATTACATTTAGATACTGTATATAACCTAATTTATGTCTTACAAAAGTTATCAGTTGAGAAAATAATTTAAAAAACACACCATTGCGGTATGATGGATATTTGTTACTAATATTAATATTGCCATTGGTTTTGATTGGATGAAATAGACATTTTTTAATTATTAGATTATGTTAAATTAATTACCAATTTTTTTAAAATTTAATTATGCATAGAGTTTATTTTAATTAAATACATGAATTTAAAACAAAATATCGTAACTTTTAAATAATTTGATTCAATGGAATTATCAAAGTGAGGAAAAGAAAATGGTGTGTTTTTATTCACCACAAAAAAATGGCATGAAACCTTTTAAAGCAAAGTTAATTATTTTTTTAAAGACATTAATTTTCTTTCTTAATCATATTTAAGGTAATCAGTTATTTTTTAACAATTTCATTAAATATAAATTTATGGAAACATTAAAATCATTTATTTTACGCAGTATAGTTAGCATATAATAATACTACTTAACAAAGCAATCTTTTATTTGTATGGGCTACAGTTATCCGATTGATGACCCATACTCAAATAAAACATACTGTATATTTTCCTTACCCTTTAATTTGTCCTCCTTACTGTCCTCACGCTGCCTAGCCAAAATTTTCTCCTGCACTGTAATAACTTCTGTACTTGTAGAGCAAGCAGCATAACTTTCAAGAAGTTCAGAATTCACAGAATAGAATGTTGGACCCCATTTGAATTTAGACAGAAGTTTCTCTGCATGTTCACTGAAACCTAAACAAAACACACAAATCAAGCCTCAAATTATCACAACTTATGCAGACCTGGTTACACTGGAACTCCCAAAATAGTCATATATGGTTTCAGAATAGTACTTTACCATCTCAAAATTGTACAATACCATATTGTAATAGTAAATAAGCATGCAGTATAATGTATACAATAACTATTGGCATCCCGTTTCTAATAAAAGTCAATTCTCAGAGTAGATGACAATATTTATATACAGTGCATAATTGCACATAAAAAGGTGCCCGTTATTTGCCACTTTGACACACAAAGATGTGGTGGGGGGTTGGACATTGAGGACATCCACTGAAGTCACCCGAGCAAAAGTGAGGGTGGTTTAGAGAAGGAGCCAGAGTCCTGTCCCCAGACATTTTTTTATAAATTAAAAACACAGGGATGCATTTTCGGGTAAACCTGAAGTTAGATTTACATCATTTTACACTTAATTGTAATACTTGTGGGAAATTAGGTTACCTTACCTTGCTGTGTTTATAAAAATACTTTTTATTTTAGTAGTTACTAATTAAATGGAAAAAATGTTTTATAATTTATTCTTAAAGATATTTAAAAAATTATGTCATAATCTAACGCTGCTCTGCACAGCAGTTGAGAATGCATTTGCTTTTAAAAATGTAGTTGCTCCTTTTTTGCACTCAATGCCGTTCAGATGAAGAACGAAATAATTATATCACAAAATTAAAACACAGAAGCAAACAAAAGTGAAAGTTTACTAAATGTGTCCCGAGGGTGAATACGCTAAATATTACTGTTGCGGTATCTAGCAACTTCATTGTGAAAACACAAAGAAACAATATGATGAACATGGTGGTGTTATTTTATAGCCTTTAAAAATAATTAGATAACTACTTCTACCACGCATACCTGGATGCTTCAAAGTCAATACTACCCCCTTTCCCTGTTAATGTGATATAAATTATGGATGGTCCCCAGCCCATTATATTTCTTTGTCCATTCCCCTCTGGGTGTAGAAAGAAGCTAAAACTAAAAACCAAAAAGATTATTTTATGGATTTTTTTAAATTGTAAAATCCATTTGAATATATTTTTTTTAAAACCTAGTTTCGAAAATCATAGTTTGACAGGTCTCACTGTAAAGTTGTATAAGACATCTCAAAATCGTACATTATATGCCAAAATTGCAAGAGTAAACAGTCTGCTTAAGAAACAATATCTTCATCCTGTCCAAGATACTATGCATATAAACTCTTGTTCCACAACAAATGTTCTCAAATTTAAAAATATATAGTAGCATTTATATAGATGTAGAAATGATCTTATACAATTGCATTCATAACTCCAGTGAAAGAAACTAGATTACCAGTAAATTTAAACACTAAAACAAATGATAATAATATTGCTACCAACTATATAACCACTATAATAATTGAAAAATTACGAGCCACTACAAAAATCACAGCACCTAATCATAAAAGAGGGTTATATAAAACAATCTTTGGATCTTCTAGTGCTTCCCTTTTTTTTTATAATCAATAGAATCAATGATATAAGCACACAAAGTTCTAATACACAATCACACAGGACTACAGTTGAACTTAGTGTGCTTTCTCTAATCATCAACAAACAAACAAAAAAAGATTTATCAAAAGTAAAGTATGAACTGATGCTTCTTTAACTTAAATCTCTTAATATTATCAATGCAAACCAATTTTTGTAAAAAATTATTTTACCGAAGTAACTTAAAACTGACACATTTATTATTTTTTGGGCAGTTTTTGCTCTTACAAACATGGAACTGAAACACATTGACAGTTATCTATTTCAATTAAAATATTTAAAAATTGTGATTAATGTCTAGTAGGTTTTACCTGTAATGTAAAGAGTTGCAGCAAAAGCTTCCACACATGAAAGTTTACAAGGTCTGCCATAATTGATGGGATTGGTTGCGATAAGATATGGCAGAAGACGAGCATGGTCACCTTTCATTCTAGCAAATGGTGTTTCTTGGAGCTTAGCCCAGCTACAATCGACCACAGCCATTCCACACTCTTCAATAATTGACCTACAGACAATTAACCAAAGGAATATTTTCATGTGTTAATAAAAAGATTAATTTCTTAAATGAGGTCTATGAGATAAAAAGAGATAAAATATGTATGCCATGAAACAAACAAAAAGCAATACAGTAAAATTATTACAAGGCTAAACCACTTGTACAGTATTCCTTTCTAATATTAAAATTTAAGACTGCTAAGCAAAATTCAACCAAAATAAATGGACAAAAAGATAATTAGGTTATAAAAGCACTTAAATTTTAATATATTTAAAGTTTTACAAAAATATTGTCAATGACAAAAAGAATAGACAGTATTTTATGCTCCTATAATGGGCTTACAAAATATTCTTATACAAAACATCAGATATGTATTGTTTCAACAAAAAAGGATGAAGAATGATGTGTAAATATTATCTTTTTTAAGTATCAAAAGAAAATAATAACTTGACCTAAAAAAAATTCATTATTTAAACAACATGACATTAACCTTATGAATTCCCTTTAATACTGGTACCAAATTAATTGACTACCAGTACTTCAAAATTCAAAATATTGCCACAGTGTAAAAATGTACACATATTTTACCTGTCTTCTGGTGCCACACACTTGGTGCCCACGGGAGAAAGGATAAGCCCATTGAATCTCTGATTTAGACGCAAAGTTTTTACAAAGCCCATCCGACTCAATTTTCTTCCTGTACACTTTTTTGGATCACAGTGTTCCAAGTCCCACATGCCCAGAGGAAATGGAAGCTTACTGCAACTTGTTTCTGCAGCTGCTGCACCTAATAATGGGACAGAAGAAAATCAAATTTGTTTAAATAAATTTAAATAATACAAAAAAATTACTTAGAACCATATATTAGAACATTTTATGCACCATTAATCAAGAATGGAACAGTTATCTTTGCAATAAGAAAGAAAAAATCTCTATGTATATAAAAATGAATGTTTGTAATGTATGTCCAGTATGCATTCCAATGCCATTCATTTGATTGTGATAAAACTTTGGTGAGTTGCTGTGCACGCGCCTGCAATGGTTTCTAACTTCCTTTTTTTTCCCATATACTTATATGAGCTATATAAATTAAATATAATTTCTAACAGAGCAATGGCATGGGTGGATGGAATTGAATCAAATACAAACCACAACATTTCAGTTTGTGTGTGACATAATAAGTAGGTTTCTGAATTAGTACAACCATTTTACAAAATTTCATTTGGGGCCAGGGGCCCTAAATTTGTTTTGTTTTTTTATATGAGCTATATAAGTATAATTTCAAACAGTGCTATGTACACAACGAATTTCTATTGTTCACAACGTTCCTTGAACACATGCCAACTGATGACTACAAAGTTGTAGTTTGAGCAGACAAAACACCTGTCAGCCAACACAAAATATAGTACAATGCACCAACAATTGATGAAGTGGCCATGGTTATAGTTGGTGACGAATTTAACTCACATGTAATAATTCTTTATTGCAAAATTGCAGAGTCTCAGAAACTCATCCTTCATACAACGGATTGCAATATCAAATTATATTTTGGTAAAGAGAAGATGGAATGTTGTGAACGAGTTCACAAGATCAAATTCGTGTTGAATTTTCTTTCCTACATTTGATGCGATTTTTTTATGAAGCCTTGTATTAAATAAATCTGAAGAACATGATAAATTTTAGAACAAATACATCTACTCTTATAACTAAAAAGGAGATACAATGTTGCATTTTGTAAAAGAACAATCGTTATATTGACTATATTTCTGAAAATGAGTTTGAACTTTACTGCATGGAACACTGAGACTTGAAGAAGAAGATATTTGTGAAAAAAGAGCAAAAACTGATTTTTAACACCCCCCCCCCCGCCAAAACTTTTAAAAATTAAATTTAAAATAAACCGGCCAAACTTTTTAAAAATTAACTTAAAAGTAAACATAGCCCATGCATACGTGCCAACCTGTATTAAAATGAAAAAAAATAATAACTGCAAAAGCATGAAAACTGAGCAGAAAAAAAAAGTGAAAAGTATACCAAAAAAGTTTTTTTTTTAAAGTTTTAACATTTTTTTTTAATTACTAATTTGTTAAATGAAAAGCCAACATTGTTTCTTAATTGGTTTTGATTATTTGGAAAATCCAAACAAGTTTCATTATTGATATTACATTTTAAACAGGAGATGATTGTAACACAATTAAGTATATTTCTGCAATCAGTATGGATTTTTTTTAACATTGAGAAAGATCTCTCACAGTCTGCATTGCTGTGAGGCAAAGTCAGCAATGGTTTTATATTATTTTAGAGATTTGGAAACCTCAGCTTGCCTTCAGGCCCATTACACCAAGCCAATATTTGGTAAAATTTTGTTCAACCTGTGTAGTTGTAAGGCTTGGTAAGAATCAATAATCATCATACTCATTTTCAAAATTTCTAAGTCAACATCACAAGTGAATGTGTTTGCCAACCAGCAAATGACTGTATTTGAGTACTGGATATAACACTTTGATATCCATGAGTACTTGTTTATCAAATGGAAACTTTTACAGCCTATTACCCACTGTCTCTGAATAAAAGTTTCTGATGTCTTTAAAAAGAACTGTCAGAGAAGTTGTTATGTTAAATCTGGATATATATCTGATTCTTCTGTAAGACTCTTCTAGGAGAGGCAAATGGCAAGCAAATTATCATAAAGATGCAGATTACAATCCATATAGTTCATTCAATAGCTTCAGATTTTGAATCTCATTTATATGCCAAAAATTTAGCAGCAAACTTATTGAGCAGTAAATCCATTTCCTCTAAAAGAACCCCTAATTGAGACTCATCTGTCTGAAATAATATTATTGTTCATCCTTCACATGTTAAGATGACGAAGGCAATTTTCAACTTGAGTAGTAGCCTTGACTTGAGCTGCATTTTGGTGCTTTAGCAGGGGTGGTCAACATGAGGCCATCGCGGCCCGCTGTGAGTCATGTTGCGGCCCGTGGAGCTATGTCAAATGAACATAAATGTTAAATTTATTTTACATATCACCGAAATAACATTACATCATGAGTCGTTCGTATCATATATTAATAAATTATAGCTAAGATAAATTTGAAAAATCTTGATTTTTTAAAAAAATTCATCGGTTTTGAGTTTTTCATGACTTTTCCTGTAAATTAAAACAAAGCTTGATATGAAACGAATCTGTTTCTGATTTGAAACATGATTCTGTTTTGAAATAATATAAAATCAAACAGCTGGCAATATACAACCCAATGTGACGATGGAGTGGGCTTCGGAGAACGAAATCCACATGGCCTGGGATTAATCTTCTTAAGCTGGTTCCCAACAGCAAATTGCCTCTCTCTACGACGCTGGATAGCCCAGGGAACATCATTGGATAATACAGCTTGGCACCAGTGACGTCGCAGGAGTTGACAGAATGTTTCATTGTATCAATGTCTTTCGGGACTCCATCTCCGGGTTTGATTTCAGAGTTTTCTTCTCTTAGATGGGTTGCCATCTAAGGCTAGCGAGTCCCATCCACCCGGGGTGCTGGTGTTGTTTTTGCTTGACTGGGCTCTGGCTGGAGTTGAACTCCAGACCCCCAACTTGAGATATTCTCAGTTTAGTCCACTTGGCCACCCAGCACCCATAAAATCAAACAGCACTTCAAGACTAAACAGGCAAATAAGTTTGATAAGTCTTAGTACAAAGGGCAATTTCAACAAGACCAAGTAAATGACTTTTAAAAAAAATTCTGCACAACAAAAGATATTTACAAGAGCGGGTTCAGAGTCAACAATGCCATGTAAAAGCTAGTTATGCAGTAGCCATGATACTAGCAAAAACAATTGAAGCTATATTCAGATGATGAAATGGTTAAGGAATGTTTGGAGAGCGTTGTTGTGTCCAGAAAAGAAGAAACATTTCTCAAAAATAAATTGGTATCATCAGACTATTACTAGCCGTGTGGACATATGGAAGACAATTAGAAAAGTCGAGCATCGAATTTTATATTTTATGCTGTAAAATAGAATGAAAGCACAGATATGGCAGATACCATTTTTATCAACAGTTTTGATGTCTAGGTACTTTGACACAAAATTTAAATATTGTCTGATTGTCATGAATGATACATCATTTTAAAGGGCTAGCTATAAGCTTTATAACACCAATTTCATCTTTCCATCTTTTATAGAAGTGGAGTTAAGATTTTTTTTTGTGATGTTTTACAACCCCCTTCTTTATCTTTGTATTTAACTGAAAAAACATGTGACCGACTTTCCAAATTTGTGACTTATTTTGCCCACAACTTTTTTATTTTTAAAGATAATGCTACCAAATTTTCAGGAGACATTCTTAATGCAATATATAACCCAATGAAAAACACAACTTTTAAATAAAATCAGTACTTTGTATTTTGAAAAATTTTGTTTGAGGGTATGTTGAGAAAAATAAGAACAGAAAATTGGAAAAATCATTACTGACAAAGGAAAAAAATTAACTTTTTATTTGATTTGAACTAATTATATGCTTGTGTGAAATTTTAAATCAATTCTTATACTCATAAAAAGGTAAGTAGTTTCTTTTTTTTAATAAAATTGAATGCATGTATCATGTAATTATAAATAAAAATCACTCAAAATCATTTTTTTTATCTACATTCAAACGTGTCTCCTTGGCATTGAGTTCTGCAATAGAAAATTTTCTCTTGTATCTGAAATAAACCTAGAAAACATCTTAATATATTCAATCATAATCCTGAATATTCTGAATACACTAAATTTCTTTTTAAAATATAAATTATTATTCAATTTATCATTATTCATTATGTGTTTATTAAAACTAGTTTCGTTTTTATTTTTATTTTATTATTGATAATTATAAAATTATACATTTTTTTTCTAATTCTATGTCATGTCATTACCGCTACTTAACTATTTTTTAAATTTTATGATTAAATACCTTATTTAATTTAAAAATACTATTTAAATTTGAGCTTTAATTGCATTTGTTGTAGGCTACGGCTATTGGTAGTCAACTACCAATAGCCCCTAGAGAGCTATTTGTAGTTAACTACCAATAGCCCTTAGAGAGCTATTGGTAGTTTTAACTACAAATAGCTTCTAGAGAGCTATTAGTACTCTACTACCAGTAGTAGTTAGTAGTAGTTTACTATCAAAAACTAATAATTAGTGATAGATTGATGTACTGAGGTATTGACAAAGAATTGTTGGCACTATTGTTTTAATTACATCATTGAAATCGCTCTTATTAAGTCTTATGCTGTGGTTATTTGGACCCGGGTCTGAGAAGTTGAGAGTTTGGGTTTATTAAAATTTATATTTTAAAATATTATAGGGTTTGTAAGACAAAATTTGGTATCAAATGAAAGATAATTGAATGGACAATATTTTTGTAAACTTACTTCTGGAGTGTCCCGGTCCAATTAGACCAATGCTATTCGGATGTCAGTCATTTGTGGTAATTTATTTTAGTTAAACCGAAGTTTAACTATAGTCCATTCAATTATTATTTCATTTCATACAAAATTTTGTGTTACTACCTAACAATAATTTTTTTTTTTTTAATTTTAATCCCAACCTCTCAGTTCTCAGACCCAGGTACGAATAGCCACTTCTTAAGTCTTAAGTAGGTCTTTGTTTCCCACATCTTAGACAGCAGCTGTCTGGTCGAGGTGCACTTCAAACAAAATTTTATTTGTGTCTAATCTCATAAATCATCATTCACTCCAAATCGGATTTCCAAAGCTCACTAGACTACACTTTACTTTTATGCTT